GCGGCACAGTGGGCAGCTGTTTAGTCGGCACTAGCCGAGGCCGGCTCCACGTTGTGACTCCATGTCGTCCACAGCTCCTGTCTCAAGGTGAATCGTATCAGCCAGGGTACGGTGGTGTTTTCTTTTCCTAATTTTAGTTTTGGTCAGTGTCTCCCCATCTCTCCTTTACTGTCTTTTACTACGACAACCTATTTTTCTACTATGTTTGAACTCCAATGTACTTTAAACTACACCTCATACTGGGCCGTACTTACACCAGTCTAGGAAAGAGCCCCTGACCCACAACCAGTTTAACCAACAAGTGTGGAACAAAATCAGCCTTAAAGCAGTTCAAAGAAAAAAGGATTTAGAAAGAAAATCTTAAAATGTAAAGTATATGGAATAGATGCTAAACAGAACAACAGCCTGGTTCTAAAATCACTCTTCAGAATCACAGGCGTTTATAGCAGACAGCACTGGACTGGTCTGTTTGCAGGGGCAGTGTTTTGTGATAGAGTTTATTGATCCAGAAGGAGGTGTCATCAATAATTACCACAGCATCCAAAACAAGGTGAACTGTCTATGAAGGACAGGGGTTTAGCAGGTAAATAATGAAACTATTAAGCTAAAAGATTTGTAACAAAGGTTTATGAAGCCCACATCACTTCCAGATATACAACCTCAAACAGGCTGTTAACAGCAGTGTTGTCAGTAACGCCTTACAAAAGTAATGTATTACAGTAACATGTTACTTTTTGCTGTAACGCAGTAGTGCAAGGCATTAATAACCAATTTTCAGTAATATTTTACTCGGTTCATGCTCAGTAACGCGTGCGTTACAACAAACCTTTCGCCTGCGAGACATTAACAAATCAAAAAAGTTGGAACTCATTTTATGACGCCTATGTTCGGATAATAGAAATGCCACTAACTGACATTAACAATCTATACACACAGCTTCAGATTAAATGTATGAATGACCAGGAATACCAGTTTCTGAAGGAATACTGCTCCATTATGAAGCCTTTTAGCGTTACACTGGACATCCTAAACTTCTGTGGTTATTTTGGTGAAAGTAACTCAAAAGTAATATAGGTTCATGTAACGTATTACAATTCTGAGAGAGTAATATTGTAAGGTAAGGGATTACTTTTAAATTACAGTAACAATCTGCAATGTATTACAGTTTGGAAGTAACTTGCACAACACTGGTTAACAGTCAGTAATACACAACTCAATGTGCCAAAAACGGGGAGAGCGCACGATGTTTACCGGTTACTGAAGTACAGGAACATCAGGGTGATCATTCAGAAATGGTGAAACCAATAAATAAATTCCCGACCTTTCATGGTCCAACAGTTCTAGTCCTGGCTCCATAAACAGAACCAGGGCAGCAGAACCAGGCGGAACCGTGGCACCATCCTCCTGCTTTAAACCGGAACAGAGCCGCGACCCACGCTAGTTCGGTTTGTCCCCTTTGGTCCGGGTCCAGAACTAAAGGGAGCTAACATCCGACTATGGCAGCGGCTTGGAACCACATGTCAGTACCACGACGCCCCGGAACAAAGGTGAACCACAACCTGACGCGTCGTGAACCAAACACGCAGCCGCCTAATAAAATGGACTTTTAAGGTGGAAAAAAGTTACATTTCTCCCCGAGATGTTTAATTAAAAGGCGGTTTGAAGTTGGACGGTGTCGGTAAACGGCGGCCAGCCGCTCGACGTCACCGTTAGAAACGAGCAGCAATTAAAATAAACGCGTTAGTGCGGAAAAGGACGAGACAGAGCGCCGCGCGTGCTCAAGCGCTCTGAAAGGCTGTCCTCGTGCACACTGACTGGTGTCGCGTGCTCACCCGGGAGGGAGGGGGAGGGAGGGTGGGAGAGAGAGAGAGACAAAGATGAAGTGACCTTGGTTTTAAACGAAGCCAGATTTCTCGTCCATGTTCACACACAAACTGGTGAACACTGGCGTTCACGTTCAGCGCGTGAGCGTGGTTTCACTCATGCAGACCATAGACATCCTGAGCTGGTTTGTCAGTAAATGAATAAGTGACGGTGCTGATGTCAACCTGCCTGTTTCCACTACACGTGTGGGAGACGTTCATGGGTGACGCCTTCACTGCAAAACGTCTGGGTGTTTACACAGAGGCCGAGGGCGCGGACCCTGCACGGACCCGACACGGACCCGACACGGACCCTACACGGACCCGACACAGACCCTACACGGACCTGCAGACCATGGACAACACCAGCAGCACAACAGGACTAGTGGCAGACCCTACACAGACCTGCAGACCATGGACAACACCAGCAGCACAACAGGACTAGTGGCAGTCAGCAGGCAAAGAGCCTCCACTCAGGGGAAACGCGTTTAAAACCTGTCGAAGTCAGAATTCTGTTCTCACACACCATCAGACTGTTAATCCTGAGGCATCAGTAACAAATAAAAAATAGTTTTCCACAGGCTCTGAGAATAAACATTATACAAATAAACAACACATACAGCCACAGCGCTTCAGTGGCAGTTTACTGTTGGAGCTCAGTGAGCTAGTTTTAACTACCGGCTTGTATATAGCTAGTGTGATCCAGGTGGGTCCCAACCTAGGGGTCAGGGCCCTCCAAAGAGTCACCAGACAACTGATTAATGGGAGAGGAAAAAAGAAAAACTACATTCTGAGACATAAAGTTGTTTTTGCTGCTCTAATTTCTACTTTCTTGTCAAAAAGTGAATGAACTGACTTGTTCAGGGCCTGAACAGGTTTTTAATTAAACTGTCTGATGGAGCTGCTAACAAGACAACGGACCGTGGCTGCACAGCAAGTTTAAATAGGCCAAATACGTTGGGAACCACTGGCATATACTTAATGTATGAAAGTGGTTCCTCTCAGTGTTTTACTGTTATATATGACGTTTTTGAACCAACTGTACTGGTGCAATAATGTGTAGGTTGAACTTTACGGCTGTTTAAAGTTAATAACCTGCACTGTAGATACAAAGCAGCAGAAAAAGAAAATACTCAAAATTTAAGTGCCATAAGCTTGCACTTAAGCACAGTACTTGAGTAACTGTACTTAGTTACTTTCCTCCGCTGGGTGAAACAACAGTAGGCGCTGGAGAATTGCTGCAGTAACCGCTGTGGCCACCAGAGGGCAGTGAACACCACAGCCACCTCCACGTTAAACACCGTCAGTGTCCAGGCTTCAGGAGCAGGGTGGAACTGTCCACACTCACCTCTCTCTCTTCTTCCTCTTAGTCTCTCCTGCCTCCCTCGACCAGCCCCATCTCTCTCCTCCTGCTCTACTCATCATCCGGTCTGGATTCAACAGCTCAGGAGCCGCAGACGTCCACAACCACCTGTCCCCGTCCCAAGCAGCAGCATGAAGGAACAGAAAAGACTTTGGTTTCTGCTCTGGGTAAGACCTCATATCCAAAAACCTTCAACTTAAATGATTCAATAGAAAACAAAAATTACTTTACTGCGACATTAGAAGCTAAGTGAAAGTTTAACCTCAACACTTTCTCCCACTAAAATAGCTGTGTTTAAACTCAGGGAATAAAATGAAAACAATGTTAAGTACAGCAAACGGACACTTGTAATAATGCTGCTTTTCATTTTGAAGGACTTTCCTTTAAATTACTTTCTGGTGATTTGTACTCAGTCAAGAACATTTCTGCTTTTATGTCATGAATTCATTGGAATGAATTAAAATGTTTGTTTTCTTGATACTCACATAACAGACATAATTTATAGTACTTAATAAATGATTGTTTATTGTATACGAGCTATTTTCTCTGGTGTGTTGGACACATTTTCTCTTGGACTGGTTTAAATCAGTGAACCCAGATCAATGTTTTTCAATAAAGCTGTCACAGTGAGATAAACTAATAGTAAATCTGCTTTTGCTTTTCATTATCACTACCTACAGCCGCCCAGATGTTTCTGTGCACGTGTGTGTTATTCCTGGTCACTAATGTGGGTTGTGGTGTTTTGCCCAGGTGTGTGTTTGCAGCGTTGCTCCGATGTGCTGCTGGCATGACTTGGACAACAGCGAGTACGACTGCTGGCCTTTGGACAGACCCAATGAATACAACATGATCGACTGTGGAGGTGAGAAACGGACTGTTCATTAATCTACAACCTGCAGAGGTGTTTGTCTTCTGTAGGAAACAACGGGCTTGAAGCTGAGAGCCACAGACAGGAAGTCAAGGCATTGAGAGATCCATCGCTTTAAGGTAGAAAATAATAGTTTCCATCATAGTCTGCAGAGACGCAACCAAGAGACAACAGAGACTTTGTATGTCCAGATGCAGAACAACCACCAACAGGAGACAACAAGAGACAGAAACCTAACAAACCAAACACACTTCCATGTTGTGTTCCCTGTGCTATGTTTTCTGTTTGTAAAATCTACGTTTAGAAACTGATTTTCTCTTTACAATGTTGTACCTTCACTCATCCTTACATAATTACTACAGTACACTAACATAAGTAAATACTATTTAACAAAGTCCGAGCAGATTCTCAGTCATCCAGGTCATAGTCAACTTAGAAAAATCAACTGGACATCAGTTCTGATGAAGCCTCTTGGATGACAGGTGAAATGTCTTCGACCTAAAAACCTAGTCCAGTTGATTTTTCTACATTTTTTTAGCTTACTATTTAACAAAAGCCATTTTTTCCCCCTGTGCTCTCTGAGTTAAATTTCTTAACGTACAGATAGGTATCGAGATATTCTAGATTCCATCATCACCATCACTAGTCGTTTCTCTGGGCTGTAACCTCTCTCCCTCTCTGTCTATGTCTCTCAACCAGGTCTGGAGCTGGCCTGGGTGGTTCGTCCACCAGAGACGGTAAAGACTGGCAAGGTGTTCAGTGTCACATACTCAGTAACGGCTCAGGACTCTTTCTACCACTGGGCTATTGAAAACCACATCTTCACACAAAGGTTAATATACCCATATATAGTGGTTTATTTATACTGGACTTAAACCAGAGTGACAGATTTACACTTTACACTAGTTTTAGACGGGACCTATACATACTTCTGGGCTTCAGAATGGTTCTTATCCTGGTCTACTGTGTATGTGTGTTTAGCTCTATTGTAGACGCTGAAGCAGCTCGGAGCTTTTGTGAACATCACGAATGTCCAGCCAACTGGAAAGATGCTGACGGAGAAAACTGCTGCATTCATCACGCAAACATCCACTCCTGTCCAATGGGGTACATGGTATGTTTAATATTTTACTTTTCTTCCTAACACTTTTAAAGCTGTAACATCTTTGAGGATGTCTAAGCCTTGGTGATAATTCCTAACACACCACAGGAAGCCCCTACAAGTTCAGTACACTAACATGGTGTTGATAAATAAACTCTGATAGAGCACAAGTTTAGTCATTTCAATTTCCAGTTGTCACATGCCATCAGGGACCATTCTAATAAATGAAACCACTGAAACCATTAGTACATTCATTTGAGGATTTGTGGACCAGGATGTGATGCGTTCTGGAGAAGCCTTATCGACTAAATCTAATTTATTAGTACTAACTGTTTAGTCAGCAAGACTTGGGGGTTTCAGACACATTCAGCACTAAATAATGTTAAATACAGACAGATAATACCAGGATTATCTCATCCTCAATGAAGAATCTGAATCAGTAAGTCCATCAGTACTGTACACTCCATGTCATGGACTTAGGTATAAACATTTCCATCCCAAATGCAGGGAAATATAGAAAGTCCCTCAAAATGGAAACCAACAAGTAAAGCATGACCTCTGCATCTTTATTGGAGCACAGAAACAGAATGACTGTTCCACTTCTGCATGTCTGTAAATTTTAATTGGTAGATAAGTATTTAAAGCACCACAACAGACAAACTA